AGAGAGACCCGGGTTACCCTGGCTACTCCCATCAAAATTCAGCTTCAAAGAACCAAGAGGAGGGGGGACCTAGCTAGTCATTGCCCTTCCCTTGTAGGAGGAACAGCTTGCTACCAACTTCCAATCCTTCCAACAATCAGCAAAAGTAAAATGGTTAAATAATTCTAGAGTCTATAACCAATGTAAAGACCTGGACAAAATGCAGTCCTTTAAGGTTTGACTGCTTCTTCCTTTTTCTTGGAAGATTCTGGCATTCCTTTCTTCCCATACTGTCCATAACAATGCTGCTCGTGAGCATCTCCACATTTTCCTTCATCTTTTGTGGGGCCAAGAGAAGAAAGAAGGGTTAAAGATTGTGCTTACTTTTGCTGGCATATCCCAACTAGACCCAAACAAAGATAGAAGCCAAGCCCACAGCTCTGCAGTGACACTACAAGATAAAAATAGATGATCATGAGTACCTACATCGTGAGTAGGAGAGTAGGAGAGTAGGAGATTCTTCTATTGCAATCAATGTATCTATTGTTAGTTTACTGTTACTGTTATGCTGTCAGCAGGTTTTTTTATTTATTTTCTATTTTGTTTTTCATTAGAGTAGGAGATTCTTCTATTTATTTTTTATTTGTTTTAATCAAACTAAGATTTTCTTTGAGCTAGGATTTTAATCTTGTTTTTGGGCTAATTTGGTGTTTTATTGAGGCATATTTTTCCAGGTCTTATCTGATTCTGATGTTGGGATCCTGAATGTGGTGGGATAAGCTATGAGAGGGATGGCTGAGAAACAAGTGGTTGTTGTTCAGCGGACCAAAGATGGTGATAAAAAGAGGAGGAGGAGCAGCATAAATCAGAGTACAATTAAGATTGGAGGTTTTTGTTGGCTTGGTTCAATAAACCATAACAAGAGATTAAGGAGGACGTTGCCCATAGAATTAGAGCAGGATGAGCAAAGTGGAGGGTTACATCCAAGCCCTACATGATTGGAGAATATCACTTGGGCTAAAAGGAAAATTTTGTAAAATAGTTATATAGCACCAATGATATCATATGGACGAGGGTGTTGGCCAGTCAAAAAAAACGTCCAAAAAATGAGTGTAGCAGAAGTGCAATGTTGAGATGGGTGAATGGGAAAACTAGAAATCATGAATAAAAAATGGACATGTTTGCTGGAACCTAAGATAGCCAAAATAGGTGATAAAATGTGGGAAAGTAGACTAAGATGAGTCGTTCGCAAAGAAGACCATCTACAGAACCAATGATAGAATTGCTCCATCCAGAAAAATTTTTTAATAACCTTAAAAAATTATGGATTTCAAGAACGTATTAAAATATTGAGAGACCATCATAACAAAACATATCCTCCTTGTTGTCTTAGCAAGAAAAAAGTGTATACTGCAAAAAGAAATAAATTCCTCTTCTATGATAATGTAATCGTAACTTCTGGACTGAAGATAAGTAACGCATCGTGGATTCTTGATGAATTCACATCTTAAAAGAGATGGATGAGAACATAAAAAATAGAACAACAGTTTTGCATATGGTTCTTAACATTGAATTAGAAATGAAAATAGAACCCAGAAATAAAAAAAAATGGGTAAATTGTCCACCTTTTTTGGTAGGAAATATAATTTAGTTCGAACATAAAGTTCACATTGAAACACAAAAAGAAAAATAACAAGACTAGATATTCAACCAGAAGAGAGAGAAAAGGAAACCGAGAGAGAGAGAGAGTGTATTACCTGAAACATCAACATTCTCTTTGGAACGTCGATTTCGACGCTTCTTCCTCTTCTCTTTATCACCACCTTCAGTGCTCTGAACAACAACCACTTGTTGCTCASCCATCCCTTACCCCACAAGATTCAGGATCTCAACATCAAAATCAGAGAAGACCCGGATTAATAAACCTCAAGAAAACAGAAAATTAGCCCAAATACCAAATTACGATCTAGTTCAGAGCAAATCTAAGCTTGATTACGATCATGATCTCTTCCGTTCAACAAAAAAAATACACGGAAGAACCTCTAAAGAGAAAATAATAACGAAATAAAAGAAACAGAAATATGTAAAGAAGAGAAGAACCAGAAAGATAAAGAAGTTTTATTTCTGTTTAAAAGAGAGGAAAGAGAAACGCTTCGACAATGTTGGTTCGGAATCGGACTCCGGCGGTAAGGACAAAGACGTTACGTTATGATTGATTGTCGGCAAATACATCGACGGCAAGGCCGACTCTCGATCTTTTTGAGTTTCGTTTTCTTCCCACTGTTCCTCCTCCATAGAAGCAGTTGCCACGTGGCTAACCCCCGCAAATGGATTCCAGAATTGTTCATGACTTTTCCAGCCATTGGATTTGGAAATTTTATGGTGTCCTTATTTTGTCAAGTGAGAAATTGATACATGAAAAGAAAGAAAGGTACGTTAAAACTTTAATAAGAAAAGTTATGCAAAATACACTCATAGACTTGGGGTGGCCGGTGGGGCTAGCCTAAGGTTTGGTAGATGAATGGACACGTGTTGTTTTCTTTAAGCTTGTCTTTTGGAGTAGTACATTAGTGTACTTTTAGTAGTTAGTACTTCAAAGGTCGGACTGAATAAGACATCCAAATTGCCAAATCGCCACCTGACAATTGTCTTTTGGACAGCAAAAGACATCCCCACCAACATTTTGGTCTCTGCATAGGGCAGGGTAAATTCCAACACCACCACCCCCCCCACACCTACGCTTGTATGAGGAAAAATAGATGGAAAATGATCATGTGCACATCATGTGATCTTTTAGATATTTCAAAACATTTAAATTATCCTTCTAAATTAGGGTGATTATTCTTGGCCTAGCCCACAAATTTCTACGCTCGGGCCAAGGCTTTTGTATATAGGCCTAGCCAAGTTCTAGCCCACATCAAGCTCAAAAATTCTAGGACAGGCTTGGGCCTATAATATACATATTTTTATATTATATATTGTTTGGGACATGGCTGAGCTGGCCCAGAGGCCTATGGTCATCTGTCACAGCTCGGCTACATCAGCACCATCTGTCTGAGCTATGGCATTATCGTGATTCCGTCGACCACGTCAGCCACACCCCTCACGGATAGGCCCGCCTAGCAGATAGGGATGGGAAGACAACTCTGCTGAGGAGTAAGACTCTATCCCTTGTAACTTCGGTAGGGAACTCTGTCCCGATTTCCCTAGAAACCTACTCCGATCAAGATACGGACCCTTTAGCTATAAAAAAGTACTCCATGCTCAAGGTAAGGGACTCTCCCAACTTCTAACACCCATACTACTAATTAGCTCGGACCAAAAACCCTATATTTCGGCCCGGCCATCCACCACCTCCTACTGATTTGAGCGTCGGAGTACTTACCCGGGGATAATTCCTCGGGCCTCTGACTTCTTCCTTGATTGCAGGTCTTGAAGCGTGGCCTTGTCCTTGAAGCTCAACCCTAACCTGCCAACAAGGACTATCTGATTGACATCCTCGGTTTGTGCACTACCTCGGATTGAGCAGCATCAGATTGGCACCGTTTATGGGAAATGCACAAGAAGCCATTCTGGCAAATCTTTCATTCCTCACCGCACAATCAAGAAAGCGATTAAGATGCCTAAAAACTAGTTTGAACGATTAGTTGGTCATTCCCCGTCTCGGGAGAACCGACACCATGACTCCTCGCACCAAGAAGTCCTACAACCTTCGGCCATAGTAGATCTAGTGCAATTTCGAGCCATGCAAGAAAAGGTTGGTAAGACCTTCGAATTCATGTAGACACTAGGGTCTACTACGCCACCCAACCGAGCTGTCTCCCCTCACGCCCCGATGCACATGAAGGACGACCCTCAGACCGAGGACCCCAAAGCGCGCTAGTCAGATGTAAGGGGAGAGCAGTCTGAGCGTATAAGGCAGGACAGGACCCGAAGGCCCGCCGCCGCTGCCCATTCCTGTGGATGGGACTACCATAGCCAAACACACCAGTCAGTGCGCATCCCCGCCAAACAAAGTCTCGGAAAAAGGACGCCACCCTTTGTAGTCTCTGTCGTTGAGTCAAGTTCGATCAAGGATCACCCCACACGACCCAAGAGGTAGGCCATACACACTGCAACCCCAAACAAAAGAGATGCTGAAATTAAAGAGCTCTGGCAACGTCTAGAAGAGTTAGAGCGCACCCTTCATCCAGGACATAGTGGACGAGATACCCCATGTCAGATGGCGAGCCCCCGAATTCGACAAGTGCGACGGGAACTCTAACCCTTTCGACCATGTTGCGGCGTTCAAAGACTAGATGTGCTACATGGTGCGTCAAATGGACTAATGTGCAAAGCCCTTGTAACCACGCTACAGGGCCCAGCCTTGGCATGATACTCCTCTCTTCTGCCGATGTTTATAACATCACGGGCCCAACTAGAGACCCAGTTCCTGGCACAGTTCACAGCTAGTCAAAAGCATTGGAAAACGTCTGCTAGCCTTATGCAGGTTCGACAGAGGAAGGTGGAGTCCCTCAAATATTGCCTAGCGAGGTTCAATAAAGAAGCACTCCAAGTCAGGGAATTAAATCAATCAATTGCGGTGATGGCCATACAACACGGGCTCCGCCCTTCCCCATTTAACTTCTCCATCTCCAAGATTCCTCCTCAGACGCTGGCCGCGCTAATGAGCCATGCGCAGAAGTATATCAAMACTGAAGAGGCCCAGGCGCAACTCAAAGATGAAGATGAGAAGCCCGACAAAAAAAGGAGAGAGATCGACGACCGAAAGTCCGAGAGGTCAAACAAAGACCACAAGAGACAAGATCACCGAACCGACCATATACCTCACACCCCTCCATCGACTTATCGGAATTTCACGCCACTTAATATTCTGTGGTCTGAAATTCTGATACAAATCCGTGACCGCAACTACGTCAGGTGGCCCGAGAAGATGAAGAYGCAAAGTAATAAGAGGAACCGAGACAAATATTGCAAGTTCCACAAGGACCACGACCACCACACGAAGAACTATTTCAACCTGCGCAACCATATTGAAGATCTGATTAGGTGCGGTTATCTCAGTGGCTTCATAGATAGAAAGGAGAATCTAGCCCAAGAGGAAATAAAGAGCGGACGAAGCTTGGCAACCCCCGCCCCGAGGCCCCCCAGCTGGTATCATCCACGTGATATCAGGAGGAGCCGCCGCCGGAGAGGAAAGCAGCTCGGGACAGAAAAGATACGCTCGACTATGCGAGATCGACGACCAAGGTCATGGGAAGAGACGCGACACATCAATCACCTTCACTGACAACGACCTCCGAGGGGTCCAGACAACGCACGATGACTCCTTGGTCATCACAGCCAAAGTGGCCAACTTTGAGCTACGGCGGGTCCTAGTCGACACAGGGAGTTCTGCCGACGTATTATTTGAAGATGCATTTGAAAAGCTCGGCACTGACAGAGAACGACTTACACCAGTTAGCACTCCCTTGAAGGGATTTTCAAAAGAGTCCCTCCAGCCCACTGGGAGGATAACTCTTCCCCTCTTGATCGGAGACGGCGATGTTACTGTGACGACCATGGTAGACTTCATCGTGGTGCATTGCCCCTTCTCTTACAACGTGATCCTCGGCAAGCCGACCCTCAATGCCCTGCAAGCCGTAGTCTCAACGTACCACCTCGCCATGAAATTTCCAACCAAGTATGGCATAGGAGTGGCTTGCGGAGACTAGAAAATAGTGAGGCAATGCTATCAGCTATCATACCAAGGACCACGTCCAACGACCGAGACATTGATGACGGAAGCATAAGACCTATGCGACGAAGTAAAGGCACAGCACGGCCGACCCGTGGAAGACCTCGTCCAGTCCCCCTATTTGAGGATGATCCCGAAAAGACAGTCCAAGTTGGCTCCCTGCTAGGTGACCACCTCCGAGAGGAACTTGTACGACTAATAAGGAATAACGCCGATGTATTTGCTTGGTCGGCAAAGGACATACCTRGGATCAATCCCGAATTTATCACACATCGGCTGAATGTCAACCCCTGTTACCGACCTATGAAGCAAAAGAAGAGAAACTTTGCCACAGAGCGGTGACAAGTAATCACGAATGAAGTACAGAAGTTGCTCAACGACGGCTTTATTAGGGAAGTCAAATACCCCGATTGGTTGGCCAACATAGTGATGGTGAAGAAGGCCAATGGAAAGTAGAGAATCTGCATCGATTTCACCAACCATAATAAGTCCTGTCCCAAAGACAGATTTCCCCTACCGAGGATCGACCAGCTCGTCGATGCAACAGCAGAACATGAGCTCTTAAGCTTCATGGATGCCTTCTCAAGCTACAACCAAACCCGGATGGACCCGGACGACCAAGAGCGAACGGCCTTTATCACTGACCGCAGCCTGTACTACTACAAGGTAATGTCCTTTGGCCTCAAAATTTCCGGCACGACTTATCAGCGGCTGGTGAATGAGGTATTCAAAGAACCATTCAGTAGGAACGTGGAGGCATATGTCGATGACATGCTCGTGAAGAGCAAAAAGGTTGAACATCACCTGGCTGACCTCCACGAAGTCTTCGACACACTTAGAAAGTACAAGATGAGGTTAAACCTAACCAAGTGCACCTTCGGGGTTGGCTCCGACAAGTTTCTRGGGTTTATGGTAACACAGAGAGGAATCAAAGCAAATCCAGAGAAGATAAAAGCCACCCTTGACATGTCATCCCCCCAGACCCACAAAGAACTACAACGGCTCACCGAGAGAATAGCTGCCCTTGGCAGGTTTATGTCCAAGCCCGCGGACCAGTGCCTCCCCTTTTTCAAAGCCCCCAAACGGCCAAAGGACTTCCATTGGGCAGAAAAGTTGAGTAGTCTTTCCTGGAACTGAAGCAGTACCAGAGCTCGCCGCCCCTCCTGACTAAGTCGAGCCTAGGGGACGAGCTATTTCTCTAACTTCCGGCCGGGGATGAGGTCGTTAGCTCAGTACTGGTCAAAGAAGAGGACCGAGTACAGAGGCCGATCTACTACACCAGCAAGGTCCTCAGTGGCGCAGAGACCCTGTACTCTAATCTCGAAAAGTTGGCTTTGACCCTCATCACCGCAGCCAGAAAACTCAAACCCTGCTTCCAGGCCCACAATGTTCGAGTACTCACTAACTAGCCCCTTAAGCAGGTGCTACAAAGACCGGAAGTGTCAGGCCGCCTAGCCAAGTGGAGCGTGGAGCTAAGTGAATTCAAAATCGAGTACGCACCCCAGCCGACGATCAAAGCCCAGGCCTTGGCAGATATCATCACAGAATGTACATTTACCATTGAGGAACCGGCCCCACTGCCCCTAGCATGGACCCTCCATGTAGATGGCTCATCAAACCCGTAGGGCAACGACGTCGGCC